ACTTGTTGCCTTTAGTGTGTATTAGGTTCCAATAAATGGAATGTTTTTGGTACAGATGCATCAAGTGTGCAGTACATTGTACGTAGCTAGCAGCTTAGCTAATTCTTATAAGGCTATAAGTAGTCTAACTATTTGACTATTTGTTATATATTGATTATAATATACAATTTAAATATGTTAGCTAGGTTATACAGGGTGGGGCAGAACTGATTGAACAGTTTTAAGGCAAAATAAAAGAGTAATGGAGGTACATAGAGAAGAAAGTTTATATTCCTCATGATTAGCATAACATAGCATTTAAAATACTTATGTTTTGAAAACAATATCAGGAAGATTGGGTTTGTTAGCTGCATCACACTGTTGAAGTTGTTCTCAGAAGTTTCCTACAGCACGTTCACACATATGGCAAGGTATGGCCATAACCTTTGCTGCAATAATCCGTTCCCTTAGCTGTGGTAGGGTGTGAGGGCAACTTCTGAACTTCTCTTTTAGATGTCCCCAAAGAAAGAAATCGCAAATGCTCAAATCAGGTGACCTCACAGGCCAGTGTAAATCACCCCTCAGAGACACCAGACCTCTGGGAAACATGCATTTCAAAACATTGAGTGACATTCGGACTGTGTGAGCTGTAGCCCCATCCTGCTGAAACCACACGTCTCTCAATGCTTCATTTTCAACAACGTTTTCCATCATGGGCTGTAAGAAATTTTGCAGCATAGCAATTGGAATTCACTGTTCACTCCCTCCTCTGAGAACAACTCCAACAGTGTGTTGCAGCTAATGGCCCCCATCTTCCAGATATTGTTTTCAAAACATAAGTATTCAAAATGGTATGTTATGCTAACCTCTAGGAAAATAAACTTTCTTCTTTTTGTACCTGCATTACTCTATTATTTAACCTCAAAACTGCTCAATTGGTTCTGATCCACCCTGTATATTGAGAGGTTGACATAGTATTGACCTTTTAGGCAATTAGAAAGATTTTCCACCCTAATGCGAGTATTCTAATTAAAATATTTAATTTCAATCTTTAAATATGTGAATTTGAAACTAGAAACAAAACAATTACAATTATAAGACTATATATAAAATAATTAAATGCAGCGAATGGATACAAAATATTTGAATTGTGCACATGTTTATTTCATACAGTGTTAGCTTTTCTCATAACTTAAGTCTCGTTTCAAGTCGTATGAGGTTTGTTTGGTTATCGTTCAGTTTATGTTTAGTATTGGTTTATTGGACATTATGATCCATATACTGTTATTGTTAGTAGGCTAATTGCAACATAAAAAATAACACCTCAAAAATACAAAAAAGCTGAAAAAATCAAATAAATCAAATAAATAAAAAAAATCATGAAAAAATAAAAAAAAATCATTGATTTTTGATTTTTTTGATTTTTTTAAAAAATCAAAAAAATTGCCAACCCTGCAGCTCAGAATTAGACACACAGCTTGTTCCCAGCTGTGTCATATTCCGATACAGCTCAAACAGGGCATTGGAATTCCAACACTGGGCATCGGAATTACGAATTATGGTTTCGAAGCGCTGTCAGAATTAGTCTCGCAATATGCCAAATTTAGTCACATATAGCGTCAGCATTCAGCCAATTTGTAGATTTGAATTCTAAAGGCTTTTAAATAAATATGGCAACAGTGTTTGACATTTCATCATTGCTGGTGCATAGTGTGGTGTTTTGAGAGTGACATAAAGCAATCAGAACTTGAGTTGCGCATATGGTACCGTCAACCGGGGCTACTCGGGACAAGCGGGGCTACTCGGGACAGGCCTCCGACACGGCGTAAAACTGTTATAGTAGCGAAACTAATTGGAATATTGCAAAACTAAAAATGTAGCGTAAACGTCAACATTTTTCCTATCTATGTAGTATAAAGGAAGTCAAAAAATACTACATTTACTTGCTTTGAAAAATTCCTGAAATAAATGGTGAAAAACTATATTTTGTAAAGTTACAACTGCTAAGGTATGTAGCAAAAAAAAAAAAAAAAAAAAAAACGATCAAATCTGTCCCGAGTAGCCCCGGTTGATGGTAATCTTTTTATAGCCATTCATTTCTTGCTACATCCTTAAAGTGTCGGAATATGGTGTGTTTACCCTACACATCATATAATCAATATTTAACACACTTCTACCTCTTCAATTGATCTGAAATTTTGCATAATTGCATAAAGTTAGATATAATGGCTGAATCAATTGACAGAATAAATAATTTTGAAGATTTAAAAATTTTAATTTTAATATGAAAAAAAACAATTTTGTCTAATAGGTAGGCCTACATATTTTATAATCAATATTTAACACAGTTCTACCTGTCCAATTGATCTGAAATTTTGCACACTTGCATAAAGTTGGAAACAATGCATGAATCAATTGGCAGAATAAATAATTTTACAAAATTTAATAATTTTTAATTTTATAAAAAAAGTTAAAATTTAATTTTTTTCTATATCCCTTTACGCCCTGAATTTCTGGGACAAAAATCGTAAAATTCACTTTTTCAGTTTTAAGTCTCGCTTCGACCAAAATCATCTCTGTACGTTGATTTATACCTTGACGACAGTTCGTGAAAGTGTTAGGGGTGGGGGAGTTCTTTCACATTTAATATAGGCGAAAATTACTGGTTGGGCACATAAATATGCAACCTGAAGACGCTGATCTTTAGTTACCCGGCTGCTGTCGTGTGGGGTGGTGCTCATGCAGTTGTTCCCACTATCCTTGACTGAATTTTGGCTCCAGTAATGTCTAGTCTTGCATCCATGTCACCTTGAATGCCTATTTCGAGGCGCTCGGGACTTTGTCGCGCTCTGCTGAACATTCACACTTATTGTCACTGCAAACCTATTTCCTCCCAGAGTTTTTAAGCTACAGCAATGAGTAATAAACCGTTTGATTCGCAAATAAAAGATCTAGAGATTGGTCGAAGCTTTTTTTTTCAATTTTGTTGAAGTTTTGAAAATATTTTGAAAAAAGGGGAGGGGAAATTCAAAAGGGTGGGGGGAGAAATATTTTTTTTTCAAAAAATGCCCACCCCACCCACAAAAATTAGAATTTCGAAAAACAGCAAGGACCAATCGATAGTTATGGTCCTTACGCATCGAATGATATGCGTCTCGATGTTGTAGCTTGAAAATCATAGGAGGAGATAGATTTCTGCAGTACCCCCTTTTTGGCGGTTTTCTAAGAATTTAACGTTTTCTTTCACTTTTTTTGAAAAATTCCTATGAACAAAAAAGTCTTAGATTTATCTTTTACATATATGTACCAAGTTTCAAAGTTATCTGTTAGTAAATAACCGAAATAGAATTTCAATAAGAAATTGGACATTGCCATTGGAAATTGGAAATTTTATTTCGGTTATTTACTGACAGATAACTTTGAAACTTGGTACACATATGTAAAAAATAAATCTAAGACTTTTTTTATTTCTGTGAATTTTTTGAAAAAATGACAGAAAACGTGAAATTGTTGGAAAAGGTAGCTAGTCCCTGGTGTGACGAATTCATCACGCCAGGGCGTAAAGGGATATAATGATAAAGTTAGAAATTCATTGTACGTGTTTAACATTGCAGACACTGAATTCTTTTGAAGTGTTGTCTTTAAAAAGTAATTTTTAAATGTTTATTATTATTAAAGAAAGTGGTCTGACTGAAGGGACAGTTGAAATTGAGTTACCTAAAGCAATCAGAAATTTTCATTTAATTCCAGAGTGGCTTCTTCCCAATTTTTCAGTTTGAGTTGAAAATTTCTTTTAGGACTGAATTGCAATTTTCCAACTTAGCGCCTATTTTGGAAATTTTGTGCCTCAAAGTGGAAAATTTTCAAAACTTTTAGAATCTTGCAGCCCAATGATACATTTTTATTCACAATTAAACAGGAGGTAATTGTCTAGTGGGAGTCTCACAATTCCTAAAATGGTAGGAAATCTTTTGTTGCAGCTCAACTGGTGGATATATTCCATGTCTGGCTCTGGAGCACCTAGATTTTAGTATGGAGTATAATTTTGCTAAAAAACGAAGCCTGTTTTAAAATCATCAGCATAAAATGGTTTCCAACCCTCTCAAAACGATCTCATAACCATTCTCTCTGTTGACCAGTCTTATAGGTATACTGGTATACTAGTTTATGAAGGTTTAGATCAAAAGTAGCCTAATTCAATTTCCAGAAACAGTGCAGCCTTATGCATACCTATATAAGTGCTGGTGGTAGCTTGGTGTACTCTGATTTTGCATAGCATTGCTAAAGATGATTACTGATTGCCCATTAAAAATCTGTGCTGGTTGTTGTGTGAGTGTTAATTCTATGGATCTATGATTTTGGCTTATGTGCTACAAACAATCATGTTTTATAGTGAGGGTGAAATATGAATAGCAGCAAGCTACAGTGTTGGGTTCTTAGGCCAATCCTTATTCTAATTACAGAGTTTGATTAGGGACAACTAAACCAGTATAAAATCATTGTACATTGTTATTTGCAGCACCAGAGTGATGTTACAATGATAACTGATGTTCTGAACTGCAAGTCATTACTAGGTAACCTTTATAATATATTGTATACTATACCACCATGTACAGTTTATGGCTGGAATAAAGTAATTAATAGCCATTCAATGAGTTTTAGTTTGAAGTATTAATTAATATATTATGAAGAGTCTGAAATATTTATTTCAAGAAACATACCTATCCCTCGCACTCTACTTTTGTTGATAATGAATATTGACATTTTCAAAATATTGCATTCCAGTAAAATGTCATTTGGTAATCTGCTTTTTGATCTCCAAGCACCTGCAAGAAATTTCGTTTGGCTTATAAAAAAACAATAAGATATATGTTAATAAAAATTATGCTCTGGTCTTCAATCAAACCTGTATAAATGAAGAACTTCTGCCTAACTACACAAATATTTATTTGTGCATAATTTTATAAATTTTAAATATTGATATTCCATAACTACATCAATGTTTTTATCCTGGTTTTCATGTTTTATTTTATTTTCAGAGATGTCTTGTTTTCAAGTATGCCCGTTGTAGACAGCGAATGTCAAACAGAGGATCTGCCTTTGTTGGACATTAGGTATTCATATAATCATCCTCCAGACAAGTTATCATCAAGCACCAAGTCTTCATATTGGCTTTTCCCAAGAGTTCCTCACATTTTACACACACCTAAAGCAGCTTTTATGTCAAAAAGAGTTAAAAAATGTCTTCTCCTGTTAATATCTCTTATTGTTTTTGGCTTACTAGGCATGCTTTATGCTGGTCACTATTTTTCTTCAACTGCATCAAATACAAGGTGAGTAACAAAAATATTATGAAAATTTGGTGTCACATAAGTTGAGAACAACCTCTATTGAATTGTGTTTTTCATAGTTTTTGGCAGTATTTGTGCTGGAATAATGAACTACGGTACTACTGTACATTAGTTCAGTAGACCCCTTTAACATGAAACTAATAAAGGGCATAAATTGTGCTTTTGAGAATTGTAAAAATAATTTATTCAAGTTGTGTTGCATATTAATAAAAACTTATTTTGTCTGATATTCATGGACCACTCTAAATGAAATGGGATTGAGCTTCCAAGTTTTATCTAGGTATTTATATATTTTTCATTGCTGAATTAGAATTATTCCTGTAAGGTTGTATTTTTTATTAACTCATTAAGTAGAATTACAGTGCTCTAAACTGTATGCTTATACATACATATATATATCATGACATTTGATCAATCTTAAACCATTGCTCAAACCTTATTTTTAGTTGTGACTTAGTCTTAAAATTCTGTTGAAAGTTATAGAGTATTAATGCAATGTGTCTGTATTTATGTGTTGCTGATCTTTGGCAGGGTTGGACCACTAAAAAATAGTCTTGTTGCATTGGACAATTTGCTGCTAAGTTTAGATCAGCCAGGCAAGCCTCTGAGTGACTCACACAGGTGAGCAACTTCATATTTGTTTACTTGCCTAGCTAAGTCTATGATCCTTTGCCGTAGATAAAACTCATGACCAATAGATGTTAGGTAAACCAGCTATGCAATGTTTAATTAATATTGAATGGCTCCTCTTTTGTGTAAGGTGTTGTTCTTATTTGTAGCTTTATCACTAATGAGCGATTCTGTCACAGGTCAGACAGCAATCCATCATATGAAGATGTGGTGTCGAAAGACTTCCAGTTTGACATCAGTGGACATGACGTGATGGTCTTCCTGCACATACAAAAGACTGGAGGCACTTCATTTGGCAAACATTTGGTCAGAGATCTCGACATACAGCGAAGCTGTCAGTGTCACAGGTGTGTTATTCTTCTTCTCATTTACCCTATGTTTAAAATAAATTTCTATTATCTTTTAATATTTCTTGTGACATTTAAGATGATGTATGAAGCAAGCATATAAATTCTCTCAAAGAACTCTATAATTTACAGACACAAAGTACTACTAATATTTTTTTGAAGCATGAAAAAGTTCCTTAACTTGAGCTTGCCATTGAACAGCAAAATCAGGAAGCGTTGCACGTGCCTCTTGTGACATTTAAGATGATATATAAATAAAATGTATAAAAAAATTTTTAAAGACCACGTTTTTCATGTGGACTCAAAAGTAGAAAATAATTTTTCGGCAACTACTGATCTCTGTTTGCTTTCATTCTCTTGGTCTTTTGTATTTCAGTTAAAATATTTTACAACATCTAAAACGAAAAACGTATTGAATTCAAAATTGAAATTAAGGCATGCCTAAATGAAGATGCGCCCCACGTTTTTCATTTTAGATGTAAAATATTTTAACTGAAATACAAAGGACCAAGAGAATGAAAGCAAACAGAGATCAGTAGCTGCCGAAAAATTATTTTCTACTTTTGAGTCCACATGAAAAACGTGGTCTTTAAAATTTTTTTTTATACATTTTATTTTCTACTTTTTAGTTTTTTAAGTATTTTATTTTCTCATTTTTAGTCCGTTGCTACACACGAAACACGTTGTTGCGAGCCAATTTACTTGACTTGATGTAGGTATCGATGATACGAAGCGTATCATCGATATACGCAGTCTAAACACGAATATCCTCTCGAGGATGACGTGCATTAAAGGTTCCCAACCCCTGCTTGTGAGTTATTTTAGAGTTTATAACTAGTGCACAAAGGTCAACCATCCTACATAATATTCATTTCATTTCAGTTGGCCACGCAAATGCACAAAAGAAAATTCTTTTCAAAGTTCTGAAGAAAATAGTATTCGAGGGGATACATTGTTGTTCCCGTATTTATCTGGGTGCGTGGCTGTAAAAAGAAAGGTTCGGTAAAAATACGCCTGGAAACGTGCAACAAATTATTGATTATTGTATTGTTATCGGGAGCTGAGCTTCCCTAAAAGTTTCAGAGCGCTAGCTAATGGGAAAGTTGGTGAAATATCGATTGCAAGATTTGATCATCACAGACACGAAAGCGAGCTAAGAAAAACGTGGTAATAATAAATAAAATACTTAAAAAAAACTTTTTAAAAACCACGTTTTTCTTGTAGACTGAAAAGTAGAAAATAAATTATGACTCGCCCCAAAGAACGTGTGTCGGGCAGATTTATGATTAAAGCGAAAAGCACACAACACACGAATTTTGGAAATTTGATGGTGAACGTACAGCCCGACCCACGTTTTTTGGGCCGAGCCATAATTTATTTTCTACTTTTCAGTCTACAAGAAAAACGTGGTTTTTAAAAAGTTTTTTTTTAAGTATTTTATTTTCTCCTTTTTAGTCCGTTAGTATTTCAGTTGGCCACGCAAATGCACGTAAGAAAATTCTTTTCGAAGTTCTGTAGAAAATTGTATTCGAGGGGATACATTGTTGTTCCCGTATTTATCTTTACAATACATCCCGTATTTATTGCGTTTCATTGAATAAATACGTCTGGAAACGTGCAACAAATTATTGATTATTGTATTGTCATCGGGAGCTGAGCTTCCCTAAAAGTTCCAGAGCGCTAGCTAGCGGGAAAGTTGGTGAAATATCGATTGCAAGATTTGATCATCACAGACAGACAGACAGATACGAAAGCGAGCTAAGAAAAACGTGGTAAAAAGCATATAAATTCTCTAAGAAAAACTTTAATTTACAGACATGAAGTAGTACTAATATATTTTTTTAAGCATGAAAAAGTGCTTTAAGCTGTGTTTTACATTGAGCAGCAAAATCCGGAAGCGTTGCACATGCCTGCGTCCTGGTCCGCACTCGGACGAGACGTGGCTGTTCTCGCGGTACAGCACGGGCTGGCAGTGTGGCCTGCACGCTGACTGGACTGAGCTGATGGCCTGTGTTGATGACACCATGAACAACATGGAGGCCTCCAACATCAGGCGCAAGTCAGTAGCTATTAACATGTACCATTTTGATTCATAATGTGAAAGTATATAACACTGACTGTACTTGCTGATGATACTGACAGTACTTGTTGATGACACCATGAACTACATGGAGGCCTCCAACATCAGGCGCAAGTCAGTAGCTATTAACATGTACCATTCCGATTCATAATGTGAAAAATATAACTCACTGCAGTGAGTGACAGAGAGCGCATTTTCTCGTCGACGAAAACGTGAAGTCACGGACGGACGGACAGACGAACGGACATGACGAGCACAATAGTGCATTTTTTCCATAAATTAGAAAATGCGCTGAAAATAGTCATTTCTTTCGAATTGTAGTTAAATTGTTCAACTCAATGTAATTCTTGATTTCTCGTTTTTTTTACCATTAATGATTTAAGCATACGCATTTAATAGCATAACAAGTTTTCCTGTACCACAGGTAAACTGCTGAAATTAAATTGTTCTTAGTCGACTGTTGTGTATTTTGTGCGTTGAAAACTTGAATACGTTGCATATACAATCTTTGAATCGTCTATTACTATACAGTATGTTTCTTGTATGTGTTAGTGTGGATAATATTTTGCAACTAATTCACGTCTCACTTTAGCAATCAGGACGGAAATCAAGGAAGCTTATGATTGGAATGATATTAATGGGATTTGCTTCTTTTTAACACATATCTTATGAAAAGTTATCTTAATGATCTATGGTCGTAGGTTTTCTTATTGTGTGGAAGTTGACTTCCCCGCCTCCGTTATCACGCTATTCCAATATACCATTATCATTTCTCGCGCGTTATAGGTATATATATTTGTTATTGCAGGTATTTCTACATCACGTTCTTGCAGGTATTTCTACATCACGTTCTTGCAGGTATTTCTACATCACGTTCTTGCAGGTATTTCTACATCACGTTCTTGCAGGTATTTCTACATCACGTTCTTGCAGGTATTTCTACATCACGTTCTTGCAGGTATTTCTACATCACGTTCTCGCAGGTATTTCTACATCACGTTCTTGCAGGTATTTCTACATGACGTTCTTGCAGGTATTTCTACATCACGTTCTCGCAGGTATTTCTACATCACGTTCTTGCAGGTATTTCTACATCACGTTCCTACGCGACCCCGTTCACCGTTTTCTGAGCGAGTATCGTCACGTCAAGCGCGGTGCCACCTGGAAGAACGCTCGTCTTGCCTGCGGTGGCAGAGAGGCAACTAAGGTTTGTGGCAACAGAAAAAAAATATAACTCAGTACTCACTGCAGTGAGTGACAGAGAGCGCATTTTCTCGTCCACGAAAACTTGAGGTCACGGACGGCCGGACGGACAGACGGACAGACACACGGACAGGGCGAGCACAATAATGCATTTTTTCCATAAATGAGAAAATGCGCTAAAAACGAAGAATTTTCAGTTGCTCCCCTCCTAAGAAAAACGAAGAAATTTCAGTTGCCCAACCGATGGTTTTGTAGAGTTAAATGACATTTTGTGTCCTGAGTTATATTAATGTTCAGATAAAGAGTTGTTTGGATATATTCCCTTTTTGTGCCGTTATGTCATCCATGCTTGCCGTGCAATAAATATGTGATTGTGATACACGTTGGAGAGTTCACTGATAATGAAGATTTGTGACAACTAAAGTAATTTTACAATAACACACATCTGTATAAGAGATTTCACATATTTGGTTTCCTTAAAGATCCAGAGATTTCTTTTCTCCCTCACTCGCGCGTCTCTGACTCCCTCACTCACGCGTCTCTGACTACCTCACTCGCACGTCTCTGACTCCCTCACTCGCGCGTCTCTGACTCCCTCACTCGCGCGTCTCTGACTCCCTCACTCGCGCGTCTCTNACTACTAACAAGTGCAGACATAAATGTAGCTTAAGTGCTGACATAAATGTAGCTCAAGTGCAGACATTTAGGTAGCTCATGTACGGATAAAGGCATTCTAGTGAAGGCATTAATATCCTCCAACTACTAACAAGTGCAGACATAAATGTAGCTTAAGTGCTGACATAAATGTAGCTCAAGTGCAGACATTTAGGTAGCTCATGTACGGATAAAGGCATTCTAGTGAAGGCATTAATATCCTCCAACTACTAACAAGTGCAGACATAAATGTAGCTTAAGTGCTGACATAAATGTAGCTCAAGTGCAGACATTTAGGTAGCTCATGTACGGATAAAGGCATTCTAGTGAAGGCATTAATATCCTCCAACTACTAACAAGTGCAGACATAAATGTAGCTTAAGTGCTGACATAAATGTAGCTCAAGTGCAGACATTTAGGTAGCTCATGTACGGATAAAGGCATTCTAGTGAAGGCATTAATATCCTCCAACTACTAACAAGTGCAGACATAAATGTAGCTTAAGTGCTGACATAAATGTAGCTCAAGTGCAGACATTTAGGTAGCTCATGTACGGATAAAGGCATTCTAGTGAAGGCATTAATATCCTCCAACTACTAACAAGTGCAGACATAAATGTAGCTTAAGTGCTGACATAAATGTAGCTCAAGTGCAGACATAAATGCGACCCAAGTGCAGACGTAAATATAGCTCTACCGGTAGTGCAGACATTCTAATGAAGACATTAAAATCGTTTACCTACTGACATAAATATAGTTTAAGTGCAGACATAAATGTAGCCCAAGATATAAATTTATCCCATTTGCAGACATAAATATAATTCTAGTACAGACGTAAATATAGCTCAAATGCAGGCATATTTGCTGCTTAGAAACTCCCTCTCAAATCATATAGGTATGGTAGAGCGTAAACTTCACCTGGTCATTTATTGTGCCTAGAATGCGGGTAGCATGTTTGTATAGTAGCAATCATGTTTGAAACTTGAGCTTCGATATTTTATTTGTTTAAATCACCTGCAAAGTGGAATTGGTATGCGCTGTGTACCTTTTATATACACATTATTTGCATTGCTCCTTTCATCGCAGCTTTAGCGTGTTCACCATTTGGTACTCTCCGCTCATTTTTGGTGATGAAAACAATTTCAATGTTGAAATTATCGGAGTCTGTTGACGATTCTGAAACGCTAATTAACTTCGTGTTAAGTATACGAATTACTACCGTCAATGACGCACGAGTTGCCACTCACTTGATACTGCACTTAACTCGCTGCCCGTCAATAAAAACATATCATACTGACCGGAAGCACGATTTGAAGAGATTGATTATCACATGAAAACTATGAAGCGGGTTCGGTCGCGCTTGAAAAATGTGGTTCAGTTTTGTTAATAAAATAGATAATTTTTACGGGAGGTTGGCAACATCTGTGGGGTGGCGACTTGTGTGACATTCACGTTTGTGCAACGTTTTTTTTCATTTTTATGTTCTAAACACTCGTAGAGAACGGAGAAATGGAAGAGACGTATTATGAAGATACTTGAAATGAAGTTTGCTATAAAAAATTTCGGGGCATGCGGTAAAGCATATGACCGGGGTTGATAGAGAACATCTATGTCAAACACTGGTAAAATTGTTATGAGTGGAAAATATGCAAGGCTCGTGAGAAGTATTTATGTGAATACTATAGAGGAAAATATAGACTTTGGTAAGGGGAGACGTTCTGGGTGAGGAGCAGAAGGGGCGTACGTGAAGGATGCATCCTTCTTCCGCTTCTCTTCAACCTCGACACAGAAGAGACTCCTAGGAGAGGAGAATGGATGTTGGTGTGCGTGTGGGCGGCGAAATGTTAAAAATGCTTCTGCATGCTGATGATGCTGTGATTATGAGTGAAAATATCGTAGAACTACAAAGTATGCTGGACTGTGTGACTGAGTATGGGAGGGATTTCAATGTGCGATTCAGTGCAGTGAAGAGCCAAGTACTTGTGAATGGAGCGGTTAAGGGTATGAGCAGAGTGTGGATGCTGGGAGGGAATGAGATTGTTGGGACAAATGAGTATTAGTACTTATGGATGTGTCTGGACCACGAAGAATGTCTGAGAAGAAAGGACGCGAATTTAAGTAGAATAGAATAGAAGTGTCAGCGTTGAAGAAATAGGCCCAAGGCGAATCAATGGTTGGGTATATTTGGAAGTGCAGCAAAAGTGAGAGCGAGTAACTATGAAGTATTGCGGGAAGTGTGGAAGAGTGTGGCAGTGCTTAGTATTATGTATGGATTGGATGTGATAGCATATAGTGATGGTGAGCTGGATAAATTGGAATAGGTACAAAATAGAGTGGCGAGATTGGCACTAGGAGCCCCCAGGCGGACTGCGGTAGAGGCCCTGAGAGGGGACATGGGATGGAGTACATTTAAGGAAAGAAGAATGAGAGCAGTTTTGAGGTATAAAGTGAGACTGGAGCGAATAGACGATGAAGGTTGGGCACGAAAGATGCATATGTGGAACATAAGGGTGAGCAAATGGGCACGTAATTTCGTGCATATGTACGTAAGTGTGGGATGCATGAAGCATGGGTGCGCCAGGGACCCGCTGGGCCAAAGGACGAATGGGTGGTGACAGTACGGGGTGCGATTGGGATAGAGTGGGATGAAAAAGAGGAATAAATAAACAAGTGAAAGACTATGGGCTGAAGGTGTGGAAGCAAGGAATGGAGGGAAATAACACTCTTGAAACTGTATCGGATTAAAGCGATGCCAAAATGTGAATGCGTGTATGATGGTAATAGAGGTGAGGACCTTTTGTTTTGTGTGAGAGCAGAGGTGCTAGGTGTGAATGGCCGTACATACAGCGATACAGGTGGAATGAGAGAAGGGAAGATAAATGTTTAATGTGTGATGGGGATGAGAAGGAAAGTGTGTAGCACTTGTTGATGGAATATTGGGCGTATGAGAGATGGCGACAGTCTATGATGGAGGTAATTCTGATTGAAGCAACGAGAGAGCAACTGTGGCTATGTTTGAGAGTGTGAAGAGATATTTGGAAAAGGCGAGAAGCCTGAGGGAGAAAAGGAGGATGATATGAGCGGGGTCTTGACTCTTGAGGAGATAGAAGAGGCAAAGGTGATAATTTTAGATAGAAGAGGCAAAGGTGATAGAAGAGGCAAAGGTGATCTATCAAAGGTGATAGAGGAAGGCAAAGGTGATAATTTTTAGTATGTTGACTTGTATTACTGAATGTTTTAGTTTTGTAGGATTTTAGTGAATATTTATTAATTGAACTTTTTAAACTGCCTAATGCTGCGAAACTAATAATTTTTACGATAGTAAAAGATTTTTTATGCAGCGTGAATTAGCTGCAGTGAATTAGCTGCAAACGGCAAAAGGGTGATGAGTCGCGAATTTTGCAGCGTGAATGACCGATCTGAGGGCAGGGGATAGGAAGGCTTGGAAGACTATAATTGACTTGAGGTTAGTTGGCAGGTCAGAAAAATGGTTCTGGCGGGTCAGCGAACCAATAATGGTCGTGGAACTACCTGTCCCCTTTGTGCCCTGAAAAACTGACTCATCACCCTTCCCTTACCTAGTTGCTACTACCAGGCTGGGCTATTACAACAACAACAACTACTAAACTATTGCACACTTGACAGACCTGCTGCTGGTGGGCTGCTACAACAAGTCCGTGATGTCTCCAGCCAAGCGAGACGACCTTATGCTCCTCAGCGCCAAGAGGAACCTTAACCTCATGGCCTTCTTCGGCCTTACCGAGGAGCAGGAGAAAAGCCAGTACCTTTTCGAGGAGGTCTTCAACTTGCGGTATGGTGCTCCTGTGCCTACTTCATTTGGCTGTGAATAGCTTTAATTTTTTATTTGGCTCTAATTGCTAGAGAATTTATTCTTCAGCTGAAATATTGAAGTATTCCTTAAAAATTACTTCTTATAGCCTATTTCATCCAGTCATCCAGTCGTTGTCCAGTCATGTCATCCAGTCGTTGTATTCTGCCTAGTTTGTCCAAATTTCCCTTCACATTTTACAATGCTATTCTCAGATTTTGATGTTCATCAAAATCGAAGCTTCGTAGGTCATCAGGATATGGTACGGAAGTTTAGTTGATAGTTTCTAACGGAATTAGTGTTTTTCTGGCAGTTCATGGCAAACCGCGTTATCTCTTACGAATAGTTCTATTAATACCGTGACCACGCGATCATTACGTTATTCCTTAGTTGCTGAAGAATAATCAAGTATCTAGTTGGATAATAACTAGAGACGACATCTGACCCTTTGCCCAAACCTGTCTCATGATAAAAACACGTAGCTAGTTCTCACTCTACTTCATGTACGTTCTGCCACTGCTTTGTAGTGTGCCTAATGCTATGTGATTGTTAAAACATCTCTATGTAAGTGTCACGAGCGATGAACTATTTGGTCTAGTTAAATTAAAGCTACTTTATGCAATTGACTCTGGTGATTATTAACAGCATAATTGTAAATTTTATTTCGACAAATACAAATGTTTATTTCTAATTTGATTAACGCAAATGTAAGATATGATTCACATCAAAGAAGTGGACAAATTATGGAAGAACAAAAACCGTTTCCGCTGAATGTAAACACACGCAAATTTGTTGGTACTCCGCTCATTTCTGTCAATTAACATGTACGTAACTTGTGGCTGTGATGCCACTTTACCACCATTATCAAAAAACGATTTCGTATGTCACGCGTGTGATGGAAGGTTTGAAGTTTTTCCGCCCCTATATCTTGTCCATCTATCAAGTTTTCAGCACCTTCTTTCTTTGCTGCACTTCTGGTAATCAAGATTTCAACATCTTGCTTTCTTACTACAATTCTGGTGAAGTAATTTGGGGCCTTGCTAGGAAGTTCCGGAGGGAATTTTAGACATTGCTTCAGTTTTGTTTGATGTTGACGTTGCATGTGCAGCTTCAGCATCCGCTTCGAGCAGTACAACAAGACGCTGGCAGACATGTCCCTGACGCATCTACCACCAGCGACCATCAGCCGCATCAAGAGCCTCAACCACCTGGACATGCAGCTCTACGACTACGCTAGGCAGCTCCTGCGACTGCGCTTCGAGAAGCTCTCGGCACAGGACAAGGAATTCAACAAGCACTTCTCGGGCATGGGGCACGCAGACTTCTCATGGGATGCCATCGAGAACGCCGCGTGAATGCCTGCAGTCTCCCCTGACTACCTACACATTCATTCGTTTATTGATGAGAACAGTCGCGTAAAAATTGAGAATGTGGGAAAGTGCCGAGGTGTTTACACGAAAATGTCTTTGATTGCCGGCAGGGATTATGCAGTTCATATAATTTTAAATGACGTGCTTTACAAAAATATTTACTTGCAAGTATTATCCGGAGTTATGGCATGATATGTTGTTTTTTTTAGCAGCTTGACTAGTTCAAATTATCCTTACATCTTTAATTTATCTTTATTCTTTACATATGTCCACGCAACCAATACCTACGCAATAACATACGGTTGTTTGTTGCAAAAAACTGCAGTTTTGTGTTCCGTTTAAGGTGTACACGTTCCTACTGGAGGAATATATGTTGCAGAGTATACGTTTGTAAAATTAGCTATAAAGTAATGTTTTCTTGTTTAAGAATGTAATTAGGCATTTGAAGCTTCATTGGTATATATGGCAGCAGTATTACTGCACAGGCAGCCTTGCGGCTGTTCCCCCGTACCTAACCTCCATCAAAACTGTCGCTGACAACTGCAACTGCAGATTGGATTATAGTTGCATCACCCTATTATAATTTCTTCCTGTAGGTGTGTTTATTTATTTAAGCTGCTTCATGCGTTTGTAACGGTTATCGTATGTGTTCTGATCCCTGCCAAACATCTGAAATTGTTCTTGGTTTTGCAGCTCTTTTAGGTCTTTGCGGATGGTTACTTAGATGAATGCTTCCTATTTTTGTATAGATTCCAGTATAGGAACCTATTTCAATTTCTACTCATATTTTTTCGTGTTGTAATGCTCAGTTGACAATAGATTTCCATTGAGATTTTATTCAGAGTTTTACTCGTTTTTTTATAAGAGATGGAATTTATAAATCGATTTCTTGCTCCACGTGGGCTTGAGTGGGCTTGTGTGCTCCAATGACGAAGGTGAGTGTCGAGCTGATCACTCAGAAGAATGAGTGAATATTTGTCCAAATATCAATGCCCTTTTTGTCCTCTAGAGGGCCATGCTGACCTAATTTGTACAGGCAAACGTGCGTATCGTTATTTTTCTTGATTCAGTTAACACAGACCTAAAGCCAGCCATATTTGTATCTCATTGTACGGACATGTTTAATAGGTATTGTTTAAAGGACGAACTTTCTTGTTGCAATAACAATACGTGGCATCATACGTTCACGGTTCGAGGGATGGGCAAATATGACAAACCTGTAGTAATGAAGTTGGTGTCGTGAATTGAATAATAACTAATTTTGTAAAATACAAAGATGCATGGTAATTGACGAGGTATTTATAACAAGCTTTATGTGCTTGCACCATGAGTGTTTTCTTTCAACTGAGGACAAGATGAAATGTTGGTGTAAATCTGATCTCAGCACCAGCAGAAATTGTCATCGATTGTTTCCTCAGTGAGCTTTTTCTTGCGTTGGTGCTCTACTTAGTATGGTGCCATAGTATACATAGTATAGTATACAAGTTTATTTAAGGGCCAGTCTGGCTATCCTGGAATGACCGATTACTCTTTCATGATACGAAGCTTCTTGAAGATGTTGGGCTTCTATTTTTTAATGTAGATTTCTGTTATTCATTAATTTTAAATCTTTGAGTACTTATAGTCTATTTTACATTTTTAATTTGTAAATTCCAGGTAAATGGCTCATCGGGGATTTAATATTTGTCATGTTTTGCTTGTTGCAAGAGTGCTGGGTGAACGAGAGCCTGCTGCATCTAAACCTTATTGCTAGCAAGGCTCAAACCTCCCGAATTTAGCTGTACTGATTTGTCCCATATTGGGAATGGAGCTGCTACGTTCAATTTTGCAAAACATGCTGGCTGTAAAATTTTTGCTACAAATTGATGAAAAGATTCACAACTCTCCTATCTTTATTTAACTTTTTTGTTTTACATTTATATTTTAGCATAAGCATAATTGTTAATCCATTAAACTGATAAATGATTAGCCTGAGAGCTGACTATACTGAATGACATTATTGGAACTCTAGGAGGACATAATGTTACTGCTTGACTGTCTCGTGACTGTGCTGTAACTGCTCCTTCATAAACTGTAACTTCATGTAACTACTACTGGATAACTTCAGTTGCATCGCGTCTTTTCTCTCCTAGCCAAAAATTGATCGTCAGTTTGCACAAATGCACAAATTAAATACTCCTAGCGCTCCTAATAACATTCCTGTGAGCCTTTTTTTGTTCTCTAAAAATGGTTTCACCGTGTTTACTTTGCAACTCTGCAGAACAAAATTATTGATACAACTTATATCCACGTATAATTAATTGATGGTGAGACTATACTGGGCTGCATCTACGTTGCTTCTTAGCGCCTATAATCTTGAGTGCATTCGGCAATTGAGAAGAGGCCTTGAATATAAAAAAAAACAAACTACTAGCAATACTCGTGAATAAACTTTTCGTTCATTAATTCAGCGTACTCATGTGCTTGACAATGAATAATTCTGAATACGAAGTATTTACTCCGGCGGTTGCCTGTCATATCATTATAAATTAACTGTCGGTAATAATGATCTGTGTCATTTGGCTGCTAGTCTATAACAATGTAATATCACGACTGTCTGCTGTGCCTGCACCACAATTCTATTGACTTTGCTTGTGTCGTATGGCTGCCTCAAGAGCATCGTTCTCGTGTTGAGTGTCGGTGTTTGAATGTGTTTTCCTCGAGTGTTCATTCAGTGTTCACAATTATGTAAGGTTATCAAGAGCTTCGAGCGTGAAGGTATTGCAACGGTTGTCTGTATGCGTAAGTAAATTTCTTGAAAGCTTGTGGTTGTAGTCGAGACACGTAATAAGCGTTGTCGTACCTGCGGCCGCGTCTCGCGAATGATTGACGAGCATTTGATGTTCTAGTGCGTAGTCTCTGATCCAATGTGTGTTATGGGCGGCCATAACCTTTCCGTTCGAATATAATCTTCTCAACATTTACTCATGTTATTTGCATAAAGGGCCCTGTTTCAAATTACATACTCAATAAAGGGAAGAGTGTTATTAAAAATAGCCTTAAATTTGTATTGCAGGCAGTAAAATCTTCTATGATTCATCCTTGTAATGTGCGGGGTACTAACCAATATTAAGATGTTGTCTCTTCCTTTAAGGGAATATTTGAATGTTTTTTAGTTCATTAGTTGTGTAGGGCGCAGGAGGGCCTACGCCCTTGCTTCTCCTCCTCTCAGTTGGCGTCACCTGAGAGCGTCCAGTGCCGAGGTCTTCCATTGCGTGTGCTGTTGTGTGAGCAGCTCGACTGCTTCTTTTTTGTCTGGGGTCATTCTTCTAACTTCAAATTAAGGTATGAATTATGTCACATAAATTATTTAGGATGGAAGCAATAATACTCGTCATTTGTTAAGTAGCGCACAGTTTCCCTGCAAGGAACTCCCTCAAAACGAATGTTTACTTCGTTATTGAAATGAAGCCAGATTCTCTCTTCTGATTCTTTTACTTCTACAGGCTTCTGTTAACTTCGTTCTGCTGCATTAGTTGAAATAATGTTCGTTATTGAATATGGTACGGATGATAATATCGGGAAGTCGTTATTTGCTAGAATATTTGCTCAGTTTGCTATTAAATTAACTAGACTTTAGATTTTTGTGCAGCACATTTCGTACGCAATGGCAATTCTATTTGGTGATCAAGCATTATACGGCATTTACTGTCCGTTTCTTGCAGGCGTAAATTTCCGTCTTTCCCTGCGAAAATTATCCGTAAAATTGTTATTTACATTATCTAGAGGAACATCATAACATTAATTTGTTGTAAGTTAATGTGTACCATTTAGGTCAACTTTGAAGGTCTCAAGATTGCTTGGTGTAGAACATTTGTAGAACATTTCATCAGAATGGTTGATAGTCAATAATTCTAGGGACCTTAATCAACTCTGGTGGCTTGGCTTATGATGGATGTACTTTATTTATGAAATATATAATCATTCACCCAATATATAGTATATCCCATGCATATATACTCCAAATCCATGTATGGAGTACAAAGGATATGTTGGCTGGTTATATGTAGTCTACTAGCTTATGATGGATGTTCCTAACGTGCAATTCATTGATTAGAAAACTTGATTGGAATGAACTCAGCCTTTAAGAACTTTTAATGCAGAGCATAATAAACTTTTATTGCCTAAGGCCTTGATTGGCTAAAGTCTTGATTGAGAGCTTGCTGGACCAACGATTTAAACAATAATGATTCAAATAAAAATAACTGCTCATTTGCAATGAAAGCTTCCATTCCCATCTCGAACTTGGCGCAAATTTTGCTCAGTTCAATCAATAAACTTGTATTTAACATAGTTTTACTATCAATGTTATCTCATTTAATGTGTGCGGTGACCAGCAAACTAAGCTGTTCATCAGTTATAATTAACGATCACATATCTCCGCTGACAGTCTCCAGTAGTACGAAGTTTTTCAGTGGTTACTCCAACTGAAAATTCTATTAAATTATTACAAATTATTTACGATGTGATTTGATGTCTTGTATTTGATGTCCGGTGTAAAATTGTACATCAAGTCTGGATGGCGTTCAGGGTAAAGCTATGCAATTGCTCTGTGAAATTATTTATTTTTGTTTAGTTCAATTATCAAGCAGTTGACTTGAGGTGAAGGTTGGCTGTTCGTATGCATGCTTTGAACTATTTTTTGTTTTGATTTATATTTTTTACTTTCTTGTGTGCCTGCTCCAAATGGTTTACATTATCGTAATTTTTTTGGCGTTCGCTGCAGTTATGAATAATTGTAGTGCTGTTCATTACGTGGCTTCTTCTAAATGATGACACACGTTGAGTCATGGTAGTTCGGTGCTGTTATTGGTGCTTCTTTGTTTATTTTCTCAGAATATTTATTTTCACAGCATTTCCGATACGCTGTGCGTGAACCGCTTGCGTATTTCGCTTTAGTGTATTGTGATTTTTTCCTCGACCGGTATCTCGTACCTGCGTTCTATTTGTTTATCCGTGAAGCTTTTTATTGATTCTACATTCATTTTGTGTTGTTGAATAAAAAAAATTACCTTTGCCTTTATCCTCATCGTTGGGGTATTCCTCACAGAGTTTATTAAGGAAACTGTAGCGTTTCTGCCTTAATTTTATGAGCAATTTACGATTACCTATCATTTATATTTTATGTGTTCTCTTTATCATTAAGTCCTATTTAACGCTCCAAGCCAAAATTGCAGCTTTTGAAACATTTTATCCTGAACGATGTTCGAGAATCTATCATGTCTGAATGATACATGATGAATATCAGTCAATCATCGGACTGCGCGATTGCCTCCTATCCAGCGACCGGAGTCGCGAGGTCGAAACCTGTTGCATTCATTCGTGATTTTCGCATAATATGTGTAGCGTTATTTTTGATTGGAAAACGTTTTATCATGTATTGGAGTTTTATTTGTTACCTCGATAATGAAAAGAAGGAAATGTTTAGTGACGTCTTGCGAGTTATCCTCGTCTAAGGAACGCAATTTATTGCCTCGCTGTTGAGATGAATGTAATGTCCCAGATAACAATTTCTTTTACTTCATTATATAATAATAATGTAATTAAAAAATGGTTAAATTCAGTCTACATGCAAGAGGTCTTGGTTATTTTCACAAGGCGTGTGAGCTTTTCAAGTCCTGACTAGAATTGTCAATTCTACAAGCGATAAATGTTAGCAAAAAAATCAAGTAGATTCAACTCAACTGATGCCACTATCTCAATAAAACTTGAATGGATTCAAATATTACTGGCATTTCTCTATGAATCGACGCTGGTGTAGGGAGGCTACCCTCAAGGACGGTGCAGAGGACCATGCAGTGCATTGCTAGCTTGTATGGTAGTAGTTTTAGTGGTCTGTGTGTAGAGTGTGTGTCAGCTGTATAGTGTGCCGTGCAACCCTACTCATCAGTGTGTAGAGTGTGTGTCAGCTGTATAGTTCCAGCCATTGCAATGCACTGCAAGTTCCTGTATCTTAGGGAAGCCTGCGCTCCCTAGGGCTCCTGAGCAGAATTTCTATGTTAAGAAATACCTGCCCTTTTGAGGTCAGTTTAGAAATAGAAAGTTTCTGCAGTATCAATATGTTCTTGCCACGGTTGGCACCGTGATGAAACTTGATGATATAATCGTTATTATATCTTGCTCTTATACACCCAGAGAAATACGTGAGATTTGGATAACCAGCGATGCAACTTTTCTTCAATTGAGGATCAATTGAAGAAATTGATCCGGCTATCAGAGAAGAAAACCCGGCTTGGCCCGGCCGAAGGGCATATCAGAGCTACATCCGCTCACTGTTAGTGCTTAGGTACCAAAGTGACAAGAAGACCTTTTTAATATTTTGAAATGTAGATTAATAATTCTTTACGCTCCCACACTTACTTTGACGGTGGTCAGATATACTCATTGCTAGGATGTAGTCTCCTAAGTCTCCAACGTATTGCGGACTTTTGCCTCGCTCGTGTATTATTTTCCGATAAAGTATTGTATTTTCCGTTGCAATAATATTGCAACTGTTGCAATAAATTTCGTGGTTGGATTATTTGCGGATTGTGATAGTTTATAATTCAAACGTACTCAATTAAATGCATCCTTTCCACTAACAATGTTAGTCCGTGTAATACTAACCCTGTTAATGAAAATGCCATTTTTATCAACAGTAAGTTAGCTTATGCAATACATACCCCGTAAACAGTAATGCCATTCGCAAAAACCGAATATATAGCTTGAGAAATACATACCTGATCAACCATCTTACGCAGCAGTTAGAATAGAATAGAAGGTTTCATTGAAGACCAGAGAATCAGTTTTATTCGCAATTTTCTTATTAGTTTTTTCAATATATCGAACAATATTTTTAGTTTGAACTGGCAAATCGAAAATCAGGTTACCGATGGACATTTTTATTTCGTTAACGACGTTTCGAATGTTTCTATCATTCATTATCAAGTTAAAAGGCGCATTGAGTGATGAAATTAGCGTCGNAGCCAAAGGTTAAAAGTAGGAAGCAAAAGGTTGAACAGTTGCTCCTCTGTGGCACGCCATGAGCGGCGCTGAGGTACGTGAAGAGAGCCACGTGCTGCGTGACACGGCAGGACACGTGGCAGAGTACGTGTGCGTGGAGTATCCTGGACACGTGGTCAACGTGGATAAGATGCTCGACACGCTCGGAGGCATCGACACCGTGTCGCACGTGAGTCAATTATTACATCTGCCTTCATATTTTATTATATTCCTTCTCTCCACATTCTTTCTATTTTCCTTATTATTTTCCTTATCTTCAAATGACTTTCAAGATTAAATGACCGTGATTTAAAAGATTAACATAAATTTACGGCAGCAGCCGCAGTTATCTTAATATTTTTAATATATAAGGAAGCATAAAAGAGAATTTAATATCGATACAAGCTGTGTAGGAAATTAAAAATAACTGTTCGAACACAGTTTAAACTTTTCAAGTGAATGGCTAATGCCATTTTACCAATTTTTATGTCTCTTGGGGCAAAATTTGAATTTAAATTAATTGTTGCTGCTCAGTGAGGTATAGTCAGATGGGGTAAGACAGGACCGAAATCACTAACAAGCCTGTAGCATCAATACCAAGAATAACAAAAAACCCTAAACCTATCACAAGGTGTATATATGCAATGGGCTTCTAAGCTACAACTCAGACGTTTTGCATCTAACATAGTTTTCTGTACAGATTAAAAAAAGTGAGCTGGTCCCATCTTACCCCATTGGGGTAAGATGGGACCAGGCATGGGGTAAGACAGGACCAACTGGTTATTCTTATGTTACAAGAGNGAGTGAGCCACCCAAAAAATTCAGCGTTGTGTGAAAATTCAAACACCACTAGGTAAAAAAAATATAACCAGTACTCACTGCAGTGAGTGACAGAGAGCGCATTTTCTCGTCGACGAAAACATGAAGTCACGGACGGACAGACAGACGGACAGACGGACGGATATGCCGAGCATAATAGTGCATTTTTTCATAGATGAGAAAATGCGCTAAAAATCTGAAATCAACGAACTCATGAAATTCAAGAATTTAAAGTTGTTATTCTATTGAATAAAGAAATTAAAGTTGGTCCAACCATAAATGCCCTTCACTCCTCTAGTGCTAGTCTTTACTTCAATAAACTTTCGAACCTGGACCAATCCTATTAAACCCTAACTGAACCTTTATCAATCCTAATAAACACCAACTGCACCTGGACAAATTCTATCAAACCCAAACTGAACCTGGACAAATCCTATTAAACCACAGCTGAACCTGAACCAATCCTGTCTCTTATACACATCTAGATGTGTATAAGAGACAGTCATAGCGCAGTTTTTACTGTAATGCTTTATAATAAATTATAAACAAGCGCTCTATGCACCACACCTTTATTCATCAGCTCATATTTGATCAAGAATTCAAGTCGCTCATGAGCAGGATTATATCCTATAACAAGAACTAATCAGAAGTAATGAACAGAACACATGAGTAATAAATACTTAACGACCCATTAGTTAATTATTCCCCTAGATTGCCCTATATTTCTGGTTAATTATTCCCATAGATAGTATTGATGAATTATTCCCCTAGATTCCCCTATATTACTGGTTAATTATTCCCCTAGATATTATTTATGAATTATTCCCCTAGATTCCCCTATATTACTGGTTAATTATTCCCCTAGATATTATTTATGAATTATTCCCCTAGATTCCCCTATATTATTGATGAATTATTCCTCTATATTATCAATTGTTGGAAAATCCCCGTAGATGTACAGCGACGCCAACCGACGTCTGGAGCTGCGCTTCCGCCCCAGCGACTCCTACTGCAAGCCCGCCTGCTCGACGCGGTCCTGCGCTACCGGTCTACTCGTGCGCGTCACGCGGACCGGTCAGACTTGTGGTGGTGGTGGTGTGGTGGTGGTGGTGGTGTGGTGGTGGTGGTGGTGTGGTGGTGGTGGTGTGGTGGTGGTGAGTGGTGGGGAGCAGTTCAGCTCCCACGGTGGTGGGGCAGTTCAGCTCCCCCGGTGGTGGGGGGCAGTTCAGCTCCCCCGGTGGTGGGGGCAGTTCAGCTCCCCCCGGTGGTGGGGGGCAGTTCAGCTCCCCCGGTGGTGGAGGGCAGTTAGCGCCCCCGGTGGTGGGGGGCAGTTCAGCTCCCGGTGGTGGGGAGCAGTTCAGCTCCCCCGGTGGTGGGGCAGTTCAGCGCCCCCGGTGGTGGGGGGCAGTTCAGCTCCCCCGGTGGTGGAGGCAGTTCAGCTCCCCCGGTGGTGGGGGGCAGTTCAGCTCCCCCGGTGGTGGGGGCAGTTCAGCTCCCCGGTGGCTGGGAGCAGTTCAGCTCCCCCGATACTTTCTACTCATAATTGAAGTTGATCGTACACAAAAGCTGAGTTTACTCATGTAAAATAAATTTTGAAATAGAATAATCTAACCACTGTGAAAAAGTATAGTAACGTTTGTTTTTTCCGCAGTGAAAAAGAAGAAGAAGCAAAGGTCTGAAGCCTCCCACACGTCTCGACACGAAGGCCTCTCTGCGGCGGGTGGCACCGACGTCTCTGGTCCCGCCGGCTCTAAAACTTCTCCCGCCGGCGGGTCGACAGCGGACGAGCTCTGCGTTGTGGAGGAGTCCTACAAGTCCACGCTGCTGGGGGCCGTCCGCACTTCCTACTCCTTCAATAGTGAGTTCATAATCCTACTCCTAAGTCCTACCATAGTGAGTTCATAATCCTACTCCTTCAATAGTGAGTTCATAATCCTACTCCTTCAATAGTGAGTTCATAATCCTACTCCTTCAATAGTGAGTTCATAACCCTACTCCTTCAATAGTGAGTTCATATGAGCGTCCTACTCTCTCAATACTGAGTCCATAAGAGGTTTAAGATATGAATTCTGACCTGAAATCTGCTTTTTGTGATGGGCCTTAGGTTATGGCTTTTCAAAAATTAAAAATGTTCCATTTTTTGCAGCGCTGTGTGATTTCCAGTACCTGCCTCTCGTTCCGGTCCAAGAGATCCAATCCACAACTCCAGCAGGTGACGACGCAGCGTCTGGCGTCTCGGTATCCAAAATTACAAAAGTTGACGTTTCGCCTGACAAATCTCTACATGAGATTCGTGGTACTGGCGCTCGCAAGAGTTCCAAGAGCAACACAACTGCTAATAAAAAATCTCCGGTGCCTAAAGAACTCGTGACCTCAGAGGTCAGCGAGTCCACTGCATGTGAAGCGTCATCACGCAGTCTTCCAGAAGCTAACAGTGACACGTCCTCATGTCGCTCGTTGACTGTGGACTTGAACGCTGTCTCGATTACATCAAACTTGTCCCAAAATGAAAATGTTGATGCCTCCGACTCTGGCGTTGCTCAGTCGACACTACAGAGCGGTGCGTCGGGATCTGATGCTGGATCAGGGTATGCTTATCCTTATGATTGTTTCGTTCCGCAAGATCTGGTGTCTCTGGAGTGGCTGCACGAGAAGCCTCAGTTCCTCTTCCTACCACCTCCTACCTTTACACGCATGGACAACCCACAGGTAACACAACTATTCGGTTTTCGGCTTTTATGATTGATTTTAGCGAGAAACAAGTGATATTTTTTGCTTATGCATATGGTAATGATATTTATATACTAGCTTCAGGCTTGTTCCCGACGTGATTAGGATTAAAGGTGCTATGAAAACGATATTTTTTGATCTGCCCACAATAATATTCCGTGACTCACGCTTACAATCGTCACGTGGACGGTTCAGGCAGGTGCAGGTAGCCGCCTTTTGGTTTTCGTTGCTCACGGATCTGTTGATTTATTGGGTACGGTTTGATGGTGGGAAGTTACAGTAGATGGGTCACCACACAGTCTATTAAAATCCTCTGTCTCATCATGTCTAATTATTAATATAATTTTAATATATCTTGTGAGCGCCACGAACCGGCGCAATCAAGAACTCTGTCGATGCCCAGGCGTGGAATTCACACCACAGCAAATATGCGACTGCTTGACACATATTTACACAACAATATGCGATAAAAAATATGTCGCTTCACATATTTTTTGTCTAATAGTAATTTCCGTACTCAATTCATGCAGGCTTTCTTCTTTCGTGGCGATGAATCTGAAGGCACCACGCGGCCTGCTAGTTTAAGTGGCGCTAAACCAAGCAGTTCTACAGCATCTACAAGCTGTACCAAAACTACAGCCAGCTCTTCTGATACTATACAAGAGACTGCAGACGCTGAGACCCCAGCCGCTGACCCCTCGAACAGCAGCGGCGCTCCTGCAGGGTCTTTAATTACATCTGACGTCGGCAACGTCCAAGCCCATAACGTGATTTACCGCACACGACAGCGACGTACTTTGCCTGGTATTTTTTGTGACTTTGAAACTCCAACGCCCACTGAACCTCTCCCTGAAGCTCTGATGCAGTTTAATACCAAGTTCCGACAGCGTTCAATATCTCCAGTCTTTGAAAAACTGAAGCAACTTTTTGAAGAAAGGCCGATCTGGAGTCGAGCGGGCGTGAGGTGTGCTCTTGGCTATAGCTCGGACAACATCAAATATTTGCTGCCGTGTGTTGGCTATTACTTCATGGCGGGACCTTGGAGGAACCTCTGGGTAAAATTCGGGTACGACCCTCGTCAGAATCCTCAGAGTTTCTTGTTCCAAACATTCAACTATAGACTTAAACAAACCGGTCTCATTAAATCTTTTATTGAAGCCAAGAGAAGCTATTCTTCTTATCTTCTTCCTTACAAGAGTAGTGCTGCCTCCAAGAAAAAAGTTCCAGTTATTCAGTCCAATTTTCTCAGTAACTCGAGCTCGAATGCCAAGAATATCTGCAACAATGTTAGTAACTCCGACTTTTTGATGCCTTTAGAACCAGGCAGCAGAGAATCTAGAGCCTCTTGCAGCGCTGAAGACAGTGGTCTAGCTGACGCTGTCCCGGAGGGAGACGACGAAGATATTTCTGTTGCTGACACCGATGGGGCCGAGAGTTCGTTTGGCTACCTTGAGGAAGACCCTGATGCAGACAACAGCGCGGGTGGTGGTGACGTGCTGCGTGAAGACTGCTACAAGTACAAACCGGGCTGGATCCCGCCCTGCAGACAGATGTTCTACCAGGTGTGTAGTTATTGATTTACGTTAGCAATGAAGGAACTTGCGGCCTATAATTATCAAATCAATGTTAGGGGTGGGTTGGAATAGCTCGTGAAATAAAATATTGTTTATTGTTTAAAATTGCTGATTTTGAAATCGTTTTTGTAACTAGAATGTAACGGATATATTCCGCTTGCTTTTTATGAATAGTTGACGATCTACACCTGCAGAATCAGAATAATCGTGCAATCGTGTAGATCAATATAATTCATATGAAACTTGAATAGAACTATGATAGCTCCCATTATAGCGCCTATACGGATCCCTTCTGTAGTTTGTCTTATAACAATTTTTCGTATCTGGAAATAATTTAGGATATTTATGACTGCCTGGGCAAAAGTGTCTCAGTACAACAATAATAGAAGTATTAAGATCATTCGGTTGCTCCTATCGCAATTCAACTCTCACATTAGTCTTGAAGATATTGCCAAGGCAGCGATATCATCTGTTCGAAAAACTGGGCAACATTTCGAACTGATAATGTAGCCGCTTTCCGGCACATTTTCATAAAATTTCGGTAAATTTTCTTGGTATTTGCTAAGCTTTTATAATTCAAAGTAAGAATGCAGTACCTGTAACTGTGCAGTACATCGACGTGGTGGTGCCAGAGATCCAGGAGGTGCTGGAGCGCAATGTGCTGAAGACTAGCCAGCGTCTGCGCTGTGACGCGCGCTATGGCTGGCTTAGTCGCGACGTAGAGGCAGAGTGTCGTGCCATCATGGGACGACTCATAGACACTGCAGTGCGCCGTGAGTGTTGTACTGCAGTGTGCAGTGAGTGTTGTACTGCAGTGAGTGTTGGTACTGCAGTGTGCAGTGAGTGTTGGTACTGCAGTAGACCTCAAACTTGGTACCGTTGAACTGCATGTTGTTCACTAGGGCCCAGTCATATATTGCAGAGAGGTCTTCTTGTAACCTCTCACTGTCCGTCCTGTCCGTGATGGTCATTAATATCCTGGTGTCGTCCGCGAATGACGATGCAGTGGCGTGGTTCACTGCCGTGAGTGTTGGTACTGCAGTGTGCCGTGAGTGTTGCTACTGCAGTGCGCAGTGAGTGTTGATACTGAAGGTCACGCACCTACAGGCAATTGTTCAGCTTATTATGCTAGTAATTCGAATAGTTTTGTTTTTTTAAGTGAGGTCTGGCGTATTTCTGGCCTCTAGTGTCTGGGAACAAAGTCGTGTATAAATATGTACAGCTTTTATTTATTTAAGAACTCTAGATCAGGAATCTCACGCTATTTATAATTCGATCACTTCCTTGACACTAACGAGATGACCTCATCTTTTAAGCTAATGCTATAAGGCTAGTTATGCTTAGTTATAAATACAAATATTACATGACTTATTTATTTTCTTCTCTAATAAAAATGCAGATTTTTTCTAACGTATTTACGGATTGCAGAGCGCACGGAGCAGGAGCGATCACGGCGCCCGCAATCAAGCAGCAGTGATGTATGAGTTGCTGCTCCATCCTTCACTCAGCAATACATTTATTAAATACGCTCCGCCAAACGAAGTTTTATTTCCAAATTCACCCTGAGTTTTAATATTTAATAATTTTATTTAGTTAATCACTCACCGATTATTGTATTCCAACGAACTTCACTGTCGCGTCCACTATTCAGGTTCAGCCGGAGCTGCTTGAGGCCAGTGATTCCCTGACTGTTTCAGTAATCTACCTACTCCAGTAGGTGATCCACTTCAGTAGATGATCTACATCAGTAGATGATCTACATCAGTAGATGATCCACTGCAGTAGATGACCTGCTTCAGAAGGTGACCTATTTGCTCAGTACTAAGCCAAACGTGACCTCCATAAGTATAGGCCTTGTGTAAACGCTGCAATTTTAAATGGCGCACATGCATTTCAGATGTTAATCATGGTAGAGAAAGCATAGAACTTAAACCTCCATCACCCACTAAAAAGCTTAAGAATCCTTAGGAAATCGTGCCTGTAACTTGTACCACAGCTCCGAGCGTTTCAGTGTGGAGTTGTACTTTCTACGCGCCGTATTAAATAATAATAATAATAATAATAATAATAATAATAGCGGTTTCAGCGTTTATTAGGCCGTAGGCCTGTCGCCGATTCTTAACATCGCAGAACATTCACAGCATTTTGAGGTCTCGAACTCGCAACGCACTGCTACAACTGTCTCTTATACACATCTACTATTTTAAAGCGTGAATANCCAGTAAACAATAATGGTGTTTACCAGTAAACAGTAATGGTGTTTACCAGTAAACAGTGCTGGTGTTTACCAGTAAACAGTAATGGTGTTTACCAGTAAACAGTACTGGTGTTTACCAGTAAACAGTACTGGTGTTTACCAGTAAACAGTAATGGTCGGACGGTCAGCCTACGCAGACGCAGTCCATAATCCTAGTCAGAAATAGCTTTTTTATAATCAGTTCTCGAAGTAGGGTTTAATGACGAACAATTAAGCATGTATCTTGTATTTCTGAGACATAATAATCCTTATAATATCTTTGGCCTTTTGTTCATTTAATAATAAAAGAAAATCCAACAATGGAGTCAAATAATTCGTGATTCATCAACCGTGCATGCACTTCACTGCATCTTTTCATGTCACCAGCGCACTTGCATTCAATTCGTAAGAGACATTTAAAAACATAAGTTAGTCGCATGTAATGGCAGGGCAACGCATGTCATTATCAAAAATCAATATTTAATAAAAGCTAAACATCGACAGCTGACTTAAGACGAAATCAACGTGCCTCGTATTACTGCAATTATTATTAAATTTTATTGGTCGTAGTTCAAGCGAAAGTAGAAATAAGGAAATGCCGAAAAGAATCGCTACAATTTATTTTACCGTCTGGGAAATTTTGACGTTAAGCCGCATAAATAACATTAAGGTTTTTTAAATCTCGGATAATTTCCCACGCTCTTCCATTTCTAAATATGTGATAAAATGTGCAGGAAAATCGAAGTTTTTGAATGGCTTTGAGACCCCGAGAGGAACGCAGCTGCACATCTAATAGTCGTCCAATACAAATATTATATAATATTATCTATATCTTCGAACACCGAGTCTAAATTTATATTATAGAACTTCCTTCAAAAATGAGTGCTTCGTATTAAATTTAACTAGATAATAGGAACTCAACCGATATATACATAGAGATTACTTCAATTAAGAGACACGAGTACCGCGTGGGTTATAAAATCTGGCGGGAATGCATGTCATAAACGAAAGTACTTTGCCGTGATACTGTCGTAAAATTGGCCGTAATACTGTCGTAAAATTCTAGGATCATTAGGAAACTGAAATACCGCAAACATTTTCTGTGTAGCAAAATAAATTCATGCGTTAGGCGCTGACTTGTGATAGGGCGGATGTGAAATAAGGAGAGTGAAGAGTTAGCTGCACTGAGAAATTGTCAAGCCTAGTTAAAAATAAAATTATAATTCATTATACTTTGTAAGCGTAATGGAATTATTTAACGATAATAACAATTTTTTATTTTAAAGACAAGCGCTCCGACTCAAAGGCTGTCTTGCGTTTCATTCAAACATCTAGTAACAAAGTAGGGCGCTTGACTATGTCGGTCGATTAACTTTGACTCGTCCATCATCATCACTGATCACAAACAATGTCTGACTCGTCCATCATCGTCACTCACCACCAACAAACCAACCTTTGGTTAAACTGAACAATCAACCTCTCTTTTCCACTTACTACTAAGTAGCTGCCTAACAAGAACATCACCCTATTGATAAAATACTTTATTTTGTAGCTATACAACCGTTATATATCTGCATGAAAAATTTAAAGGCTTTTTACCTCAAAATCTACGAATAGATTTCTAAACAATGCGTAAGATTTTTATCCGAAGCTAAAGTTGATGAAGAATTTCAGTTTACAACAAATTTAGGAAGTCGCAACTCACTCCTGGTTATTGGACATAGAGCGATAAGTGTTAAATATTATGGGTTCCCAAACATTAGAACTGTTATGTTGCTCGGATATTAATAAGTAATTCGAGGATATCATGGATTAGCTGAACACCAATGACTAAATTAGCTGCACACAAATGACTGACTAGCCTCCAAGCTGCTACCTCGTCTTGAAAGATTTTGCTTTGCGCTTTAGCAAACAAAAAAAAAAAAAAATACCGCCGTAAGCAAGGATACGGTTGGTCGACACAAAATCGCCGGATGTGTCAATTATCGCCGGATGTGTCAGTGTGTCGCAAGCAAAAACAAAAGTTGGATGACCAGGCTGGGTGACGGCAAAAGAATTGACATGAACTTTCGGTTCCATGAGGTGGTGAAAGTGACGTTTTATTTTGGTGCTGAAAAGCTGAAGCTCGTAGTGCCTGAAAGCAAGAAATTTTTCATAAATCTTTCAACAAATTTAAAGGAACATATTTTATATAGGTTACATGGTACTTTTGAAGCATAGCTTCATTTTTAAAGTTCTAAACTAAATGCAATAGAATCATATTTTAACAAATTACGTTCATTTTGTGATAAAAATATATTTGGATGAATATAAATAAAATAATTGAATATTTTCATGTTCTAGCTTCATTAAAACGCCAGAAAAGTAGTTTATCTGCTTAAGCCAACTCGGGTTGTCACCACCAAACATGGCGCTCACTCACGATTGTCTGCTCCATTACCGAATTTTATGACATTGTATGCCTCATGTATTTACCACTTCATTTAGAAACTATAAAGAAATCATCCCTTTTTGTACACAAATCGTCCTCGGATACTAAAAATAATTAATCTCAATTATCATTTCATCTGTGAACTCATTTAGTTACTCCGAGCACTTTTGTAATTATAGATACCACTCATTTAGAAGCACATAGTAATAATATTAACGTGATATCAGCCTCGATTAGGCCGTTAAACCTGACGCTGATTTTGAACATCGCACAATTTTCACAGCATTTTGCGAGTCTCAAACCTACAACTCATTGTTCCAGAATTAGTATTCCAGTCTAAACTGCAACCACTGGGTAAACCTGCATATGCTAATATTATTTTTGGCAATAACCCACCATTGGTTGCTGGGTCTGAAGAGAAGTTATAGCGACATGAGTTAACCCGTCTTGGAGTGCAGGCGGTTCGCCATCGCCTGATGAGCCTCGACGTCGGCTAGCAAATCCGCCGCGCAGGCCGTGAACGCGGGGGTTGTGAAGCACTGGCTCCTGAACACATCAAACATGAACTCGTTAATTCGATGGGAAACTATCAAGAGATTTACTATTTTTTCAATGGGAAAGCATGACAAGCAAGAAAATTGAATTAACGCATCTTGTGTCGACAGTGTGAGGATGCTTCATCGAAGGGCAGTATGCCGACGCCTGAAATTTATCTAGAATTTTCCGGTATCCTGCTTGTATCTTATGTTATTCAGTTGCCATCAAAATAACCATCATCACTGCGGAGCTATAGTAAATGAAAAAGCAAGAACCTAGCTGAAACTATTCTTATAATTCATGTATCAATCATGTTAACATGATTTCAGTCGAAAGTGACAGCACCCTCGCAATAATTAATTAAATTGAATGCTTTTGGTTCTCCAGGTGCGACCAAATTAATTTATTGAATTGGGTAATAGAGAATGCGAATTCTAATTGAAAGTTCATGAGAAAATTCATCAAAAATCACGAAGTTGAAATCCAAGTGCATGGTCAGTCCCTCGTCGCAGTAGAGGTAGGACCACTAGCCTGGTGAATTCCGCGTCTAAGTAGAGGTAGGAACACTTACTTGCAGCGCCTGGTGAATTCCTCGTCGTAGTAGAGGTAGGAACACTTACTTGCAGCGCCTGGTGAATTCCTCATCGTAGTAGAGGTAGAAGCAGTCTTCACACACTTGGTTTAGCCTCTTGTAGGCACCAGCGTCGTACGTGCCTAGGCACGCCGGATCAAGCGACGTTACCGGCATGCGTTTCTCAGGCATTGACGGATAGAAGGGTAACTCATTCATTGTCCTCTCGCGCTCTGAAATACTGCGAGACTCTACTCCTTGTTGATTCAAGAATATCGTCAGCAAACACATTGCTATGATCAGATTTTTAAAGAAAGAAACTACCAGGTTATTCATACTTATGGTGTGAAAGAGGCGACTTGATAAGTGAAAAATATCTAGACAGTTTAAAATACTTTTAATGAGGCTGAGGCCTTTCTGTCTGGGCGGGAAGAAAAATAGTGTGTGATAATTAGTTGATCCTCAAGACATGACAACGCAAGAACGAACAATGATGCGGCTCTATTACGAAGCTTATGGTCGCGTCAATGCGAGATCTGTATTTCGTTATTACACGTCAATGTGGCGAATGGCTGCCGGAAATGACTGCTATCAATCATAGTGCAGCATCCGGATAGCACAATGCAAACAAACTGTATGACATCAATTATCGACCGTCAATAAACGAATTTGAACTCATTTAAATGATTTCTGAACATATCCTATTTGAAGTCTCCAATGGGACGAATATGAGAATAACGCTCCGTCCTCCAGCAGCGAGGCAAAACTAGCAACATAGCAACTAAACGACATCCGGCATAGCCGGTCATCATCTAAATTGATGATGATTGCGTGCCACATTCCAATCAAACTACCAAATATGTCGCTCAGGATCTCGTCATATCCACAACGATTATTCCAACACCTCAGCAATGTTCTAACTGTAATTGAATTAATTTTACATTTTCCTTACTGGCGCCTGGGCGAGCGTAAGTCACTGGGTGTTTTTAAATGGATGTAATTTATCCAATTCTATTATAGTAATTGGATCAAGCAGGAAATATTAACTCTTCATATTGTAGCGGGAAACTACTACATTTACACACTTTGAGGTCTCTGCCAGCGGGCCCTGCGGTTCGTGGAAGGTTGAAACGACTAAGGACGAAGTCAGGAGAATTTTTACTCGAGAGATTTGCAGAAATGACTTGAAAAAGCAAAATCCAATAACATATGAAGGGTACATTTGACGAAAATCTTTATGGGTACATCAATGGGTATGAAGAACTGGCTCCCTACTAGCGACAGACTACATCCGACGACAGTTAGTCTAGCACATTTTTCTCTGCAGTCACCTGTCGAGTAGTGCGGCGGCTTCAAATCTAGTACACAAAGCGGGACTAATATCTGGCCCGCTACAATATCGACTGTTTTAATTGTTTTTTTTGTCTTCTGCGTGTTGTGATGAGAAAAATTACGCACAAAACAATAATTGCAACCCCGTATTTTAGACGCATAACTCATAAAAAGTTAAACTATGCTTCACTTATAGATTGATATTAAGCAATTATATAATCGAAGAAGATAAGTAAAACAAATTGCAGATATAAATAATAATATTTTATGATTTTATTCAAGTGCCTTTACTTGATTAGGATTTTAAATTTGTAGAAACTTCAAGCAAATCCTAAATCTGACACTACATTAGAAACTTGATCGGTTAGTTGCATCGGTGTTGCTCAGTTATTAACCTGCCATGCCGGAGATGGCATATGGTCTGGAACTCCCGCCCTGGTAACAGGTTCCCCGCCCTCAAGTCTGCAAACGCTGATGTTTGTTTAATTAAGCGCCTCAGGGTTTCGAGGAATTTTTTCGTCAGGATATTTTTTTTGTTTGTTTTCCTGGCGAGGCTTGCGTGAATGCGCCACAAAATGACAGGATGGGCGGCTGGAACGTCAATAGGTTTTAATGTTTAAGGACAGGGGGAGGGGGGGGGGGTTTGGGCTAAGTCCACAGGAGCTGTACAGGATATGAGCAATCGTTTAATTTCAGTAGTACAGTACGACAAACACTGGAAGGCTGTGTATTTATTGTATATTCAGGGTAGATATGGAATTTTTAGGCATTTTTTTGTAGAAATAAGTATGAATTTCACTACATGAGTATAAAATTATCAATGGGGCTTAAGAATATTTAGGGGGGCAAAGCCCCGTAAAATTTTGCCTGCCCGGGAATGTTAACTAAAAGTAGGACCAGAGCGGACAACATAAACTTTCTGTTAACTGAATCGACTGGCTAAGTCATTTCCCTACTCGACGTTGCGATTTTCCTCCTTCACGCCGCGACTGCCAGGCTGGACGTTTCCTTCTGTTACTAGGAACTTTGATTTACGGGAATATTTGAAATCGAATAATTGAAAAATACGTAATAATTAACTTTGTTTTCCGAATTCGAATGATAGGAACGTTTGTGTCTCAATTGTGACATTGGATGAAAAATAATATAAACACGTTACTTGGCTGTCCGGTTTCGAATGAAGAGAACGTTTGTGGCCGAATTGTGTTCATAGATAAAAAAAATTTCAACAAGTTATTGATTTATTAATTTTGAATGAGAGTACCGTTTGTGCTTGAATTAAGATAATGGATGAAATTTGAATTGAATGAACATACAATCAAAGATTTTAAAAATTCAAAATTCAATTCACTTTAGTTCGACATTAAAACATTTTGCTCGCACTTTGTGATTACGATTGATAAGTCTGGATGCAACCTTTGCTTGTCATTTGCTTCACTAGTGACACTGCTCAAATGTTATTGCCACTATGTCGAGTTTAAAATTCATACAGTAAAAGTTGGCGGTAAGTTAATAGGATGATAAATAGAGCTAACGCACCAAATAATTATTAATGTTCCTAGGTTCCTACATGGGGCCATTATACTTTCAAAACTCGCTAAGTGAACGTAAGTACTTACGCTCCATTTTCTTGTCCATGATTAGGGGATTTGGCTTGAAAGGTCGTCGTTGATTGGCAGATGAACTTACGATCTTTTAATTAATTTTGAAAGTATAGGCGCTGATGTCGCTGCTGCATGACATGAAGCATTTCGGCGTACAACAGAACAGACTCGGTGAAAGTTGCTGTTAATTGTTGCTGCCTTGCAGTGATTGTCGGCACAGGATGACCGAGCGGAATAGAAATTTTAAATTGATTTCGAAACTCCGACAGCGGTCGTTATAAAGAAGAAATTACGTACATATTATTGAACGAAATTCATAGATTGAATAGTTCTCGATATTATGCAGTGATCACAACTATAACAATTAATCATATTGATTGGTATTTAATATGAATGAAAATTGATGTGAATGATATGGTGGTGACTTGAATGATATGGTGTAATGATAACTTCAGGATACTCAATGTTATGTCAAGAGGAGCGCCGTAGTGCAGAACTAATCCATTGCATTTGATTTTGTTCACGTCTTGGACATAGCAGATGCATTTAAGCGCAAACATTATATATATACCCTTGATTCTTTATCAAAAATCAATTACGGATCGAAAAATGAGTTGTTCCCACATAACATCCCTGTAATTCAACAACAATTGGTGTTTAGAAATCGTGTGTATTAATTCTAATCTTTTATTATATAGAAGCTCGGAGAACGGAATTTCATGGACAGCTAGCATTCCTTGATCGAGAAATAAAGATTTAATGCAGAATTAATGCGCATGATAGCACTTGAAAAAGAAATGGATTTCGAAAGAAGTGAGGGGATTTAGTGACCTTTTTGTCGCGGGTGCCTTGAGCGCTGAAGGGACCAGCAGCAGACGTCGCGACATTTCTATTTAAAAAAAAGTTAAGAGATCGTAAGTTCATCAGCCAATCATTGACGGCCTTTCAAGCAAAATCTATCAATCGTAGACAAGAAAATAGAGCGTAAATACTTACGTTCACTTAGCGAGTTTTGAAGGTATTGCTCCTTTAGTGCCGAGGGCTCGCGAGGTGACGTCAACTTTTGCATCGTCAGTCGAAAGTTCGTCATGCCGGACATTAATAGATCTCGACTGCATATGTCTACGCTAAGTATAGGAATATTTTAAATCTTGCGGTAAAGTAAGTGAAAAAATTAAAATGACAAACATAATCAAGTATTGAGTGTAATTCAAGAATTAGCCCCCAATTAATTGCCAGTCCTCACGTACAGCAGTCGGACGCAGAGAAATAACGGGTTTTGCTGAAGGATATTACGGATAGAAATTGTTGTATGCTTAACTATGACATCTTGGACATAGTTAAGCAGAGAAAAGTCGACTGAACTGATTAAATGACTTTTAGTAGGGTACAGTTTTGGTATTGCGTCTCCTGACATTATTTTATACTGATGACTAGAAGGCCAAACATTCTCTAATATAGGCTCACAGATTTACTTAATTGTGTCATAAAATGATTGATCAAGGATAAATGATTAAATCAAAAGAAAATCTGACGAAATTCGAATAAAGATTGACAAAGAGAAATTAGAACACTGAATCAGAGTTGGCAATAAAGAAGAGCAGAAATGATGAAAAGATAATAGTACTCTAAAAATGATGTAATCTGTAGATTGCATCCACTGTGGAACAAACAAATCTGATACAACGTATTCATGACGCTCTCAAATGCATTGCCGGTAGCCGGCGCTCGAGTATCAATGGCACATGCAATTTCCTGTAGCCTGCATTCATTCGTGGTTTACTAAACCATAAATGACGACCGGTTGCTAGAGCTGTGTGCTTGTAAGCGTATCCATATTGTTGGCATAATGGCATAAGTTCAAAATTTGGATAAAATTTTAGCCAGAAATGTGCGTGAAGGGCGTGGATAATACTTTATAATCCGAATCGAAAAAAAACAAGCTACTTTTCACTCATTGACCTCTTAAATTTAAACTTTTCTCTAGCAACACTTGGGCGTCAGGTTCGCTGGAGTTTTCAGAAGTTGTGCGCCCTGCAGTATGTCGGCGCCAGTGAGTCATCACACGTCGGGGGCGCGGCTGTCGGTAACAAGACACGAGCTCTGCAGAGTTTGTACGTCAAAACAAACGCGATTGAATAATTACGAAGTCAGAACGCGTGTTCGGTGTAATGTTTCGTAAAGAGGAACGCCCGCCACCGCAAACCGACGGACTGCAACAAACGGTGCGGTTTGCTTGTTTGTGCACATACAACGTAAAAAACTACATCGGATTGCATGTTCGTGCGCATACAACGTAGAAATCTATAGCGGTTTGCATGTTTGTGCGCATACAACGTAAAAAACTATAGCGGTTTGCATGTTTGTGCGCATACAACGTAAAAAACTATAGCAGTTTGCTTGTTCGTGCACGTACAGCGTAAAAAATACACGAATAAACTTCAGAATCCCTTCATCCCGTTCATGTCTTAAGTAATCAGAATT